ATAAGCTATTTTACTTTAAAGGTTTAACATGAAATAAAATATTTATTTAAAATTGTTTGAGGCAATGATTTATGCTTAAGAATTGTTACCATATCTTTTATCTTTCAAGTATATAATAAGTCGTTAACATGAACATTTTCTTGTTGAAGCCAGAATATTTCTAGCTTTTCAAGCATGTTTCGAGCTTCTTAGCATGAAACTTTTGGTATTTCCGTACTATCATCCTCATGATTATCTTCTTCATCTTCTTGTCTAATTCTAATAATGATTTCTTCTTTGATTAAATCATACATGACTTGTTACTCATTTGGATAATTGAGAAGACATTAATATCAATTTGATTAATGTAGTGAAGTTGTCGAATCTGATCATTCAATTCTATAATGACTTTTTGATGTCCATTTTCATACTATCCTAATTCTACTAAAATAATGAATTGAAATCTTAATACTATTAAAACATAAATTATAAAATAAAAAATGAAAACAATAATTTTTGAATAAAAAAAATTATTCTTGTAACTAAACCGCTATTAAATTATAATCTCGTTATAGTAATAAATTTAGTTGATTCTAATATTATAACTAATTAACTATAGATATGTTTTATTGTATATATAACCAGTTTATCTAAAAGTCAGTTATAAAAGGGATAAATTTCATTTTTTTTACTTTGTGTTTTTAAATAAACATGATGAATCTATTTTCATTTTTTGAAGCATTTTTAATATTAAAAAATAAAAAACATACGTAATTCAAATGTTGTGTAATCTTAAGAGCATATATCTTTTTCAAGAATATTAATATAAGATTTATATAATAATGAATTCGCCCTATATAGAATGTAATTATGTAAGCATACACGTAACAAATGCATGCTAACATGTAAGAATTAAATAAATTCTAATTTAGAATCTTAATAAATCAGGTTGGGATCATCTTTTGTTTCAATGAACCAGTATGTTCTTCTCTTTATTAAATAAATTAAATAAAATTGATATTCCATAAGAGACAAGGATATTCCTTCTCTCACATAAAATATCAAGTGCAACGTGGGACCACCCTCGTCACTACTACACCTTATAATCATATGCCACGTGGCGTCCTTAAGTAGAAGTTTTTTGTTGATGCATCATCATGATCAGCACGACTGAGAGTTGTTGAGCCGGGGAGTCCGACCCGGTCCACACAGGAGAATCATAATTATAGTGCCATTACGTTGTGGTGGGCCATGGGGGACCCACCAGCACGTGCCGTCCATCCACGGTTTTTGGTTTCATATTTCGAGTTTTCAAAACTCGTGGAATGCTTTCTTTTTTTTTTTGTTTTTTAAGCCATAAAGTAATGTCTTGCTTCCTCGACTGTATAATCTTCTTTAATTTTGTATTTTCTCAAAAAATTTATAAAATTTATCACATCTCGTATCAATTTGAATTTAATCCTAATAATGTTTAAGTATTTTCATTAATACTTCAAAGTTAGAGTAATAATTTATATAATTAGAAAGATTGAAATAGACTTTAATATAAAATTTCAAATTTGTTCCATGCTTTTTTATTTTAATAAGCTAAAAGAGGTGTTATACACTCATACTTCCTAGACTTTATCATCATCTTTCGTTTTGCCTAAAAAAAAAAATTAACCCTACTCCTAAGATTTAAAATTAACATCTTAGGATGTCATACACTTTAAATTAAGAGTAATATTATACGTACAAAAAAATATTGCAATAATTATCAATATAAAGTGATGTAACAGAAAATACAAGAAAGAGCGAATATGATGAGTTTGATTTTTTGTATTCATTCATTTTTTTGTCACATTACTTTGTAAATAAATTTTTGTAAGATTTCTTTGTACGTTTAACATTATTATTAAATTAATTACATATGTATTAGGATAATTATTTTATATTTTGCATGGCATTGTTTTGGGAACTGAAATCTGAAATTGAAAAGTAGCACATTTAACTATTTTTTCTCACAAAATAGCATTTTTCCGTTTTTCACTAAATTTACAGACAAAAATACCCTTTCATAAAAATAAACTCTAACCTCTTTCGACGACATTGATCCAAAGCTTAAACCTTCCCTTCTTCATTTTAATTTGAAAAGAAAATACCCCTGCATTGTTGTTGTTTTTTTTTGATTGAGAAGTGTAGGTATAATGGGTTTAAAGTGTAGAGAGTTTTTAGGGTTTAGTTTAATTTATTTATTGAGTTTTGCTTCAAAATATAGGGGTTTTGATGGAGTTCTTGGTCTAGATTGAGATATTAGCTCAATTGTTGTGTTATTGTGTGAATTTGGGCGGATTGAATGGGAATTGGACCATGAAAATGGCAAATAGAGACCTAAGTTTTTTGGCTGAAACCAATAGATTCGATCAGATTCAAGCATTCAGCCAAAAATTGTAGGTCATTTGGTGAAGAAGAAATCAAGATTTGGTTGAACAAAGGGGTTTCAATTGGATTTGACTAAGGTAAATTTTGTCAAAACGGTCGAATCTGGTTGAATGACATGGTTTCGGCCTTCTTTGGTCACTTCCCTATCAAAGTGCAAAGTTGGTTGAATTAGGACAAATCCGACCGATACATAGTTTTCGGCCAAAACTCGTTTTCAACTTTTAGCCAATTTTCTGTCCAAATCCTCTAAAATTGATCAAAACCCATGCTCAGATTACGCCTAAACCTCTATTTTTCAACATATGCACTAAAATATAAGCTTAATCAACTATAACAACAACAAATCATTTCAAAAATAACTTATTTAACATGTTTCTTAGACATATATGCAACTCACTCAAAATTTTACATTTCAACCAACTTTCAAATACTAAACTTACCTCTTCTCTCTTTGAACAGTTTAATAAGCTAATTTATCAAGAAATCCGTTAAAAAAGTGCTAGTCAAGATCACAAAGTCAAGTCTTCAGTTGAGTTTTTAGAGTGGAAACATAAGTTTTGAATTAATGGTTAGGGATTTGTCATTAGGGGCAATTTCATCCTCCAAATTTGTACTAAATGAAAATGTGCTATTTCTTGAGAGATTTTTCAAAGAGTGCTAGTTTTCAACTCCCTCCCCCCTGTTTTTACCATTTAATATGATTTCTCTTTCTAAACTTATAAATCATAAATGTTAGATTTAACCTTTACAAATTTAAAGCAATTTGATCTACTAATTCAAAAATTAGAGTAAAAACAAATAGTGCAATAGATCCTTCTAGACCATCTTCACTTCATATATATATATATATGGGGGATAATATTTTAAAATTTATTTGAAAATTTTCTTTATCATTTAGACCTAGATTAAGAGACTAGGCCATTTGCAATAATAACATTGACACCTAGATTAAGAAGTTAGTTAGGCTCTTTAGCGAAAGGACATCCAAATATGTTTGGAAATTGAAAATGACCCATACCAACTATTTTCTAGAAACTCTAAAATTACAGGAAAAATTACTATTAGGAAAATTATTTTAATAACATCATAATCCCTGCTAATAAAACAAGACTACCCTTTCACCGTTTAATAAAAAAAAATCTTCTTTCAAACGGGTTTATTTCATACACCCTTTGCGAAATTGTTTAAAGGGGGTATTTGTAATCATTAGGGGGATTTTGATGGTTTTAGACCATAAAAAGAATATATAAAATAAACCCTTCTTGAAATTATAAATTATTAAACCTAAATGTTACTTAAACCAAATCTCAAAGAAATTATAAATTTTCGCAAAAAAAATACCCAGTTGAAAAACATTTGAATACCTATCTTGCACTCTTAACAAGATCACATCTTGAGATATGCACTTAGTATTTAAATATGTATATCCACTTTTCAAGAGAATCTGTCTCTTGTAATGTTTTATAAACTTGGAAGTGAGTGATAAATTTTATGAAAGTAGGTGCTGTTGTTCACCTATAATGAAATTGATAAGATGTTTTCTCTAAATCTCTTTTATTTCATGCAAGTTGGTAAATATTGTTAAAGAAATATTAAAATAAGATGAATATTATTGGATTGGAGGCAATGAAATAAAGCATAGCCCTATGGATGATTAATAGATGAAGGTGTTACTTATGAGACCCACGTGGGTTAGGGTTACATTGAAATCCCATTAAATCAATGTTTTAAAACTTGGTTTGGCCGATAATCAACGAATAATTGAAGGTCGAGTGTGTTGAAACTTTTGAAGAGGAAGGGCCAGTGAGTACAATGGTGACGACGAAAGTGATTTCCAGTGAGTGAATCGATTAAAAATCGCAAAACTAAATTGACGACAACAACAAGCTATTGTCGCCGATTGGCGAGACAATTGAGAGAGTGATGATATAGGTTTTGGTGAGGAGACTGAGGGAAATGTTTTCGTGGTGATGGAAAGTATTGTCGTCACCAAAAACAAACCCTATTTGCCTTGGTTTGTCGACACTGACGGTGGTATTTAGAGTGTTCTTACGAGATATCAAGCTTGTAGAGACTTTATATGTAGTTTTTAAAGGTGTTTTTGTTATATTTTAAACTTTTAGACACTGGTTTGATCCGCTGGTCAAACCAATCAACCTAGGGCCCACCCACTTTGCCGAGTTTCACCCCCAGTTGGTTATTAAAACACTGCATTAAATAAATAATTTATATAAATTTTGAACTTTCTATCCGTCTAAACATATATAACCCAAGGGCATAACTTAAAAAGTAATGCTACAGTTACCGAAAGGTGTGCACCGAATTTGTGTACCGAATGACTTACGAAATCATGACCGTTGATTCAATATAAGTTAATATTAATCAATGGTCATGATTTTACCACGTCATTCGGTGCACAAATTCGATATATAACTTTCGGTAACTCTATCATTTTCCTAACTTAAATCCTAAACATATGACTGATGTCCTATCTTATATGAAACGTATAAATAATAGTCTGAATCTCATTTAATACAAAACTATCGAATTACTAAACAAGATATGTAACCTTAACTTTTTCAGAACTATGAACATGTTCTACCGTGATTTTCAGATTATTGTTTTCTGAAATATAATGTAAATATCATTTTATGAAAACAATTTCATAAAACACTACCAAAGTATTTCATGAAAGAAATAATGTTTACAAATGGTAGTAGAACAAAATTCACAGAATTCATCATCCACAGCTACACTATAGAAACTCAGTATTTGAACAAGCAGTATTTCTTACACACAGGAGAGCCAAAAATCAAGACAAAATACTTGTAACGTTGGGACGCCTGCAATCACAGGTGCATATACTTCTAGACTCTCCCACCGCGCGCTGAGATCTCCGGGTATGAAGCTTGATGTTTACCAACTTACCAGCCATCTGTTGCTCAAGAAAATTAGATATTAGATAGTGATTCAAAATTTTCAATCAAACAAAAAATTCGGCTTATTTTTCAACAATTTCTTCAAACATTACTATCCACAGAGTTCTGGGACAGCGACTGAAAGAAAAAACAAATAAACTAGTAAAAAATATTTCCATTACCCAATCTACAGAAATACAGATAAAGAATATGACTTGTAGCAAAAGTGAACAATTGGAAGTGATCAAGGCACACAAGAAGCTCAGGAACAAAAGGAAACATGTCAAACAACGAATTCTAATAATTAATCAAAGCCAGACCGGACAAATACTTAACTTAAAGCAGAAAAGGGCTAATTAACATCCTTGTCTACAGGTCATCAACCCAGAGCCTCAGACTCATCCTCTGGACCATCAGTGTAAATAACAGAAGCAGGTTTAATTTATGACTTGGAAGCATTCAGGTGTACCCCCAAAGTTCAAACTCTGGAAAATGGTAATAATGTTGCGTACAAAAATAGTATTAGTCAAATTGAAGTCAATATCAAAGCCCAGATCTTTAGTAGTATCCTAAAATATACAATAGTACTCATCATCATTTTATCCGTGTTTTGACTTCTTCAATGACACTCAGGAATCACAGAACTTATTCCATCACAGTAGAAAAAATTGCTACCCTGAGTGTTTATATAATTTAATTAAATAGCTTCATTCAAGAACCAAAAAAGTGCACAATGAAGCCCTGGTCATTACTGAATATCTATAACTATCAAAAAGAGAAGTAACATTTGGTAATATTAGAGACACAGGTCGATATTCAGGAACTTTCCTAAAAACATATAAATAGAAACCGACTATTTGGTTACAGAAAGAGAGTACACACCATTCTCCAAACCAAATCTTCTGGACCCAAAGGTTGAGCAGGACTGGAATACAGGAAATGCCTTGAGTACTAAAAACAAATAAAAACAATAATGTTAGACACACCAAAGAAATAGCTGATTCACAGTTTTAATTTTAGAGATCCAGAGTACAAAAGAAGTAAATTGATCAAATTTAATAAAACTACAGACACGAAATTGATCCTCTCAAGTTGCAAATGGATATGAATGGTTAAAATCTTAGACCCATTTACATGTAACAACATACAATATAATGGTAACATTCATGCAAACTTTACAGTCACAAACCTGTACAAGGTTTCTCCGCATTTCTCTTATTTGAGCAGGGCTAACACCCTTTAGAAATTTCAAAAGCCATCCTGGTTGTATAGCATCACTGGAAGAAACAAATAAAGCTATCTGCATAAAGGGAAAAAGTGACAGAAACCTCAGCAACTGCCCAGTACACACAAGAATTAAGCCACACCATAAACTCCTTTTTAATCTCAAATTTTACATGTTACACACTGGCAAATGAATACGAAGTCACAGTCTATCCTCAAGATGTCTAGCAAGGAAACTTTTCTTCATTTAATATTACAAATTGATTATCCTAGCAAACCCTGTCAGATTCAGCAGTCGATTATCTCCTTCCTCAGTGTGAGAAAGCTGCTGGGTCAAAAGAAATTCTACACCCATACCAAAGTCATATCACTTACACAGAGATTACTTCCACTTTGAAGTGTCAATGTAACTGAAGCAGATAACCCCTAGCGATTGGGCTGAGTGGTAAAAGACCATTGGTTTCAACCAATGGTCAAGGGCAAACGAGCCAAGCCACTAGCCCGAGAAAAGCTCGAGCTTGGAGTGGCTCGACATAGGAGGCAAGCCGAGTTCGAACAGCCGAAGCTCAGCTCACCAAGCTCACGAGTTTTAGCAAGCTCGAGGGTATATATGTTAGTTTTACAACTACCAGGGAGTTATATGTAGTCTGCCAGTTTAAACAATGACACACACACCTCATAAAAATAAAAAATAAACAAGTCATTTCATTGGTCTTGGTGGGCTCGAGACGTGGCAAAATATCAATTGAGTTGTCATTTACTTTTTATGACAACATTAATTGAGGTGAAATAAAAAACATTTTCTCTCTCTTTTCAAAACAAATAAACATTTTCTCTCTTCCTTTTGGGAAAAACACAACTCGCCAACTCCTTCTCTCTTTCTTCAGTAGCTGTAAAAAAAAAAAGCCATAGTTATTTGCAACTCCTTTCTTTCTCTCTTTCTTTCAATTTGTTTGTTTTTGTTTCTTCTTTCCGTGGGTGAGGAAAAAGGAATTGATTAGACTTTTTTGGTTGGTTTGTTTTGGTCCAAGCTGGGATTTTAGGTCTAAAGCTCGAGCTTGATATTGTAGGAGCTGAGCCGAGTTTGAACAACCAAAGCTCGGCTCGGCTCGGCTCAGCTCATTTTCACTACAGGTGGAATCGAGCTGAGCCGAGCTGAGTTATTTGGCAACTCGAGCTCAGCTCGGAAGCTACAGTACCGAGCTCCAGCTTGGTCCAGCCTAAAGTTTTCTGTTCGAGCTTGTGCTTGCTACCAAATTCAAGTACTTGGGCTCGGGCTCGAGCTTGGCTGAAACTCGAGCCAAACCAAAAAATTCGCCAAATAAAAGTTTCATTTCTTCATGTTTTGTCATCATAAATTAAAAAAGAAAAACCAAAATCAAAGAAGCAACAAGCTAGAGCAAATGGCTCCAACAACATCATCTTCCACAACAAACCAAAACAACACCGCCTTAACTTTGCTTCAATAAGAACCACGACACACCAATCAAAATACTATTTCATAAATTTGAGAGGGAAAAGAAAGAAAGGTTAAGAATTTGAAGAATTACTCTCAATGGGGGAAGAAGATGAAGAAAGGAAAAAGTGGAGAAAAGTAAAAATTAAAAAGAAGAAAGGGAACAATGGAGGAGAGAAAGAGAGAATTACTTTTTCCCATAAGGAAGAGAAAATGTTTCTTTATTTTGAGAAGAGAGAGAAAATGCTTTTTATTTACACATTAATCTATGTTTTGTCATAAAGAGTAAATGACAAGTTGATAACTCAATTAATGTTCCGCCACATCTTGAGCCCATCAATGAATAACCAATAAAATGATTAGTAATTTGATTTTCATGGGGTGTGCTTGTCACTTTTCAAACTTATAAATTATTACACCCCCTGATAGTTGCAAACATAGCATATACCCTCTTTCGAGTTTCGAGCTCGCTGAAGCTTATGAGCTTGTTGAGCCGAGTTAGGCATGTTTAAACTCGGCTCGACACTGTAGCCGAGCCACTCGAGATTGAGCTCGGCTTGAGCTTTTGGTGAGCCGAGCCTGGGCCACTCGTGAGCGGCTCAGCTCAACTGCCACCCCTAGTTCAAATCCCCTTGCAGCCACCAAATTGGGATATTATATTCTAAGTATTATCATAGCTACCAAGGGGACAGGAAGTAACCCCAGTTTAGAACTTGGTAAATATGTAGTTTAGGTCAAGAGATTTCTGGTATCTAAAGAAAAAACTGTAATATCATTCATTTTATGCCATTGATGTCTGATTCTAATCTTTAACTTAGGGTAGCAGCAGACCAAGATTCCATGTGAAAACTTTTAGAAAACAACAATACTACCAAATAGAATAGGTACTAATTAAACATGAACTTGTGTGAAACACTGTCAGATCTGTAAGTTTCCATTAACCAGACGAAATTATCAGATAATCATATGTCAAATGTGAAAATCTCTCGAAGTTAACAAGTTAGTTATCCCTACTGCATAATTGCAAAACTTTTATAATTCTTTTATCTTTCTAAAATATACCTTATTTAGTTAATGATCTTATATTTAAACTAGCATCATAGAAAGGAGCATTATAAGCTTTAAAATTCCAGATATACCTTCCTATAGTCAAGGATTCCTTCAAAAGGAAGCTCCAATTCATCACTAACAATAACAGGGATACATCCACTGACTATAGCATCAAACAGTCTAGCAGAGGATGGAGTGTCACCAGCTGGACTTAAGCAAAAAATAGACCTGAAGACAACAAGCAACTTGATATCATGAAAAAATACAACATCCAAGCCAAAAGCGAAAAAAAAAAGATAACGAACTGATTTATTTTACCTACGCATTCCATTTTGAGCAGCTGCTTTTCCCCCCTCCCCAGCTGTCCCCTCCTCTATATCTACATGATCAGCACCAGTTAACTCCGCTACAAGTTTAGCACGTATCTTTCCCCCCTGAAAGAAGAAAACCATAATATAAGCAACTAGAGGAGAAAAACAAACAGATGCACCACCAAACAATTATGCCTGTCATTCAAAAGTAATCATCAGGACATGGAATTCGAAAGGATTAGAATGAGGAAATGGTTCTTCTGCCTCAGAAATTAAGAGGTATCCTGAGCCAAGAAATGAGAAGATCACACGACCAAAACCACCAAATTGAAATATCATGGTGCATGACAGTTTCTCAAGAACTTCTGTTACTATCAGACAAAGTAAACTATTTTCTTTACCTTAAATTCCTATTGTCCATATAATCCCCAGACCACAATAATAACAATAAACCCAATCCCCAATGATCACTGAACTAGAGTGGGTAACACCTAACAAAACTAAAATCATATCTCAGATGGAGATCTTTACAACTTAAAATGCCAGACATAACCTAGAAAAGTCACAAAGTCGTACATATCTTCAGTACCCTACAAAAATCAGTATTACATATCTTCTCTTGTACTCAAAGAAATCAACAATTTGGGGGAAAAAAAAAAAAATTGGGCTCCAGAAGAATGGAACTTATACAGCATTATCAAGGCATGGGTGGCAAATAGTGCCACCACATTGTAATAGGATGTTTCACAGCCAACACATGGATGTATTGACCATCCAAAGATACATACACACAAAATTAAATTTCATGCAACTGACTTTCCCCCTAATTCGCAACTTCAGTATTCTTAATGCCCAATTACATTAAACCAATTCTACATTTTTTTATTAATTTTTTTTTTTTTTTTTTTTTTTTTTTTGGTCCAAGGGCTTGATACACAATGATTGGCCCTTCATATTACTCAAAGTCCCCTAACCCTAAGTAAAGGCAGAATTTGATACAAGAGACTTTGGACAAAGGCCATGCCAGGTCCTAAGTTACCAGGAATACAAGTAATTGATGAGTGGAAGAAGAACAAAAATAACTTGGGTGACCATAATTCTAAGCACATGAAGTAGTCTAAGCCAAAACCAAGCATATCTTTCACCAAGAACAGCATTATTGGATGGTACTTTTTGTTTTAATCAAACTAAAAAATAGCAGCTGGAAATAAACTTTAGTTTCAATATCATATCACAGCATAAAAGCTCACATCAACCAACACTAAAATGAAATCAAATGAACAAGTCTCACTGAAACTCTTACAGCATTTCTTTTAAGCCGCCCACGAAAAAAAAGCAGAGTGCTTCTCTTAGATTCACTTTCTGATACGCATTTGGCATCGCAGAAATCAACATTTGGGACATAAGGAAGAATCAAGTCTTTCTCCAGTGAAACTTGTCCTGGTTTGTACCTAAAAGTTTAAAATTAATCATTCACTGGCAGTTGCAATAAGTAATCAACAGTCAAATTTAAAAACATATGCAATTCTTTTTTGAACTAAAGTCACATAGTTACCAGTTTCCAGTGGAGTCCATATCTGGTAACAGCCAGATTGCATTTTTCATATATCTTCGAACAGATTTAAAAGACCATGGATGATGAACAGGAAGTATGTGATCCCTCCCTCCAGATCGTTTCCAAGCAGGTTGATCTGTTACCCACTTCAAAGCTTCCTACATCCACATGCAAGAGTACGTTACATATCACATTCATACAATAAACAAAAAGTTGAAGTAGTGATTCTCCAAACCATTAAGTACAATCCACATATACAACAATACATATAGATATAAGAAAAAAAAAAGAGGAATATCAGCACAATACAAATTAATTTTAGAAACACCCACAGAATGATAGCATTACTAAAGTGCTCATTCCCTGAAGCTCAAACAACAGCATGATCCCAGCACTCACTTCAGTTTCTGAGCACTAAGTAAATGACCAGAATTCAACTGACAATTGAAGAGTAATTCAGTAATGTTACATTCTAAAGTACACAAGATCCTAAGACAGAAACTATTCTAAGATGATCACCTCAAAGAAAATTAAGAAGCTAGACCTACACATATCAGCATATTGACAAAAGACCAGATTTACAGAGACAACATTGAAACATAGAATAAATGAAACTTCAAAAAAGTTTAGTTTGGTCATAAACAAAAACAAAAAGCAGGCCTTCAACAATGATGTCACACAAATAGAGAAAGTATATATATGCAGCAATAACTTAAACCTTGGAGGTGCACTCACACCCTATAAAGAGCCTTGCATTGTTGCTTCTCCATCAAGAAAAAGCTGATTGTTGTGAAGAATGGGATGTAAAATAAATCAGCCTCCTCCTGCCGATTGACTCTCACAACATTTTTCAAAAGCCTTTCCGACTCCGGTACAATCAAATCCACCCAAAGCCAATAATCAATTGAATGCTGCACCAACAAATTTTTTTGAGCCACAATACCCCCAAAACAAAAAGGAAAAAAAGGTACAAATGTCTTGCATCAAAAATATTTACTATTACCAAAAAAATCTCTGCCGCCCAACCCCCGCACCCCATGACATTAGCATGAGAAAAAGCAACACCCTGAAGTTCAAATAAAATATAGCTACTCCCCTAAAATTCTCTTAATGTGTCATAAGCTTCCCTTAAATTCATCATAAAGTTTATCAAAACTGCCTAATCTCTTAAATTAAACCAGCGGGGTCTTATTATTTTAGCTAACAAACCCCAAGGAGCTCAATTATGAATATCCAAGTACAACACAAGCCTAAGCCGATCATCAAAATTTCAAATTCCTTCACTTTCTAAACAACCAAACATATTGTAGTCCAAAATTAAATCACCATCTACTCAATTTATCTTCTAACACCAACAAGAGACTTAGCTCAGCTAAGAATTCTGATTCTGAATACTCAAAGAAACAAATAATAATAACACAAGCATGAGCTCATCTTTAAAATCTAATTTTCTTTCTTATTGCCCCACTTTCTCAGCAACCAAACAGATTATAATCCAAAAATTAAATCACCAATCACTCAATTTATCTTCTAACACTAGTAACACACTCAACTCAGCTAAAGATTTTACATTCTAAATAATAGAAACAAAAACAACAGTCATTAACACTAATAAAAACAATAAAAATAACAAATAAAAAACAATGCCTGTTCGATTAAGCGATGAACTGGGCTGCCATTTGAGGTCAAATTCGAAGTCTCTTTATAAGTATTTCTAAACAACCAAAGCAAATCATAAGTAAATTTTCTCGGCATCTCGTAAACATAAACCCTAATTGGCAAATTCACCGGGTAGTACAAATCTCCGTAAACCCTCTCCCTTTCTTTCTTGAATGCCACGTCATCGAACCTCCTGACGTCATCCTCACTAACCGTACCGGCCACCGTGTCGTCTTTAACCGCTGGGAACCGGGGCGACTTCTGAGTGAGGAAGTGTTCAAGGGAAGTTACGAAGGAAGTCTCGGGTTTGGGGGTCGGATCGGGGTTCGGGTACGGGTCCGAGAAGGGGGAGTGGGAGTGGGAGGAGAGAGAGAAGAGAATGAAGAGGAGAGAGAGGAGAAGGAGAGAGAGAGTGAAGAGGAAAATTGGGGATCTGGAATTGGATCTTGTTAATGGTGAGTTTTTTATGCGCATTTTTGATGAAGAAGAAAATGAGGAAGGCAGTGAGCGAAGAAGAAATGGGATCTTTGAAGAAATGAGTTTCTTTAGTTGGTGCGTCGTGATGTATTGAATTATTTTAGGTGAAAATTACATGGACACCCCAAATGTTTGAGGAACTTACATCCTCATAACCAGAAGAAAAAAAATAAAAAAATCCGTGAATCCGAACCGTTCGACATGGTAATACGGTTTTTGGTTTATCCTACAGAAGCCTATCAAATCGTTTTTTTCTTTTTATAAATTACTTTCAAATACCCCTTGGGTGTGTTTAGATAGAGTAATACTTCATTATTAAGATAATGTTATCTTATATTATTTAATTACTATATTTGGTTGTTAAATAATAAAAGATTGTGGTATTTTTCCAATACTAATACTAATACTACTGTTGGTAATATAGGAGACAATCTGATTACCTCCATTTTATTAGGTATTTTAAGATTAATTGGTAATCTTAATTTTATTATAATTTTATCCCTTATTAATAAAATTTTAGGATAATAATACCTTGTTATCTAAACAATTTACAATAAATTTATGGACAATTTTAACCTCATATTCAAGATTTTTAAGACAGAACTACCCTTGTACTTCAACAAATTATCCAAGACCATAGCCACCCCCAACCACCTAAGAGGACTGTCAACTGCTGCTACTAGTCACCAGAACGGCACATGGCCAATCGAATCTGCCCAGCCGTGTGCTGCTAAGGTCGTTTTCGGCCATGGATGGAAATGGCAGCCTTTTCATGGTTAGATTTATGGTTGTTCCACGACCACATCTTTAGCCTTAAACGACCATAGATCTAGCTGGAAATGGCGAACAACTAGCCAAATCAGGTTGGTCATGCGTCATTACGGCGACTTCTAACGACGGCCTGCGGTGGTGATTGGCTGCCAATAGTGGCTTGGGGTGATTTTATTACAAATTAAAGTTTTATATGGCTGTGGTGTTTTAGCAAAATTTCAAATGTAGGGGTTTAAAAAATGATTCAAAAAATAATATTACATTAATATTTAAAAAGGAGGGCAATTTAGTAATCTATATAACATACCCACCAATTTATCCTTCCAACCAAACATATCAATATAACATACCCATTAATTTATTCTAATCTAACCAAACACATTTCCCTAAACATTCCCAATAGTCTTCAAGGTAATTTATTTTACCATTAATATATATTACAACATTCCCTAAACCAAACGCACCTTAAACTTGCAAAAAATATCCCTTGAAAATATCAAAAAACCCAACTTCAATAAAACCAAAATGTACCCAAATGATATGAACAATTAACAACAATAAATATGAAAAATAAATGTGCAGTAAGTAATAAATTAGTTGAGAGAAGAGAAATGCTTAGAGATTTATAGTGGTTCGAAGCTTTGATCAAGAGCCTCCTACATCCACTTTTTCAAGGCAACCTCCTTGAAGTTCCATTAAAATTGAATATCGTCAATACAATAGTTTAACAAGATTTCGCCTCTAAATGAATGAAAAATATGTTTGTGATATTTTGCTTCTAAGCTAGGCTGATACATAGGTTTCGAATTTCTCTCTAAAGATATGAGTTTTAGTACAAATGGGAGAGTAAATTAACTTTTGGATTGAATTCTAGGGTTTGCAATAATGATAATTGATTGTTGCACTATTCTCTCTCTTTCTCTTGCCATAACTCTATTTATGTTTTCACCAACCTTTGAAATAAATTAGAGTCATTGCTTTATTTGATGCACTGCTACAGCTTTATGCAAAACTGTAGAACCTAGAGGAATGGTCATTCCTAACATCGCTCACTTTTCATTCAAATTTAGGTTTTAGAATGGTGGTTCCTCTACTTGCAATGGTCGTTCCCTTATCGCGAACAAGCGTTCCTTCTTAGGAACAGTCGTTCCATCCTAGATCTCTTGAAGTCCATAAAATTCCAAAACGTTGAACAACTTCATGAAATGATGTTGTTCCTTCTTGGAATGATTTGATGAACCTTTGGAACGGGCGTTTGTTGAGTTTGTTCGAGTCTTACTCTTTGCCTTTCCAAAATCTTGACTCGAGCTCGAATCCTCTAAATAAAAAAAGTCTTAACTTGATTTGGAACAAACATTCCTCTTTTGGAACGAGCGTTCCTCTTTAGATTGTAGAATTGTGTCAAGATTCCAAGATGATGAATGATGTGATGGAACTATGTCGTTTATGTGGAACGGTCTTGAAGAACAGTTGTTTGGTTTGGTCGTTCATTATTCTGATGTGTGTTTCAACCTTTTCATCTAAGTTTTCAAATATGTTCAAAACAGCTTAACTAGACAGGTGTTCGGCTTAAAACGACTTGACTGAAAGATTGCTTCATTTTGGGCAGAATGATGAACGACATCATGGAACGAAGTCGTTCCAACTTGGAACTGCTTGACTGGGGTTATTTTTCAGTAAAAATTGATTGGAACAAGCGTTCCATTTGCGTGGACGATCGTTCTACTTGGAAAATTGCATTTTCATTTCTGGTTATTACTTATGTCATACATTTTTTACATTTGTTAGTCCTTAAACACTCTTTTGATTAGTTTTGGCACATCAAAACACATGAGGGTTCAACACTATCCTCATCCGAAGATGTAGCTGACCTACTCCCATACGAGCACTTTTTTGGCCTCAAAAGGCTTTTTGAATCCAGTGACACCACAACAATACCAATATGGTTCTAAATTCTAATCATAACAAGAACATCATTACTTTGAGGTTTCAACCCAACATCAATGGACATACATCCCATCCAATCATTTTCCCTTCTAAATTCGCCATAAGAGGTGCAACCCCCACATTAATGCAAGAATATCCCTAACTAGAACCTTCCTTACCCAACATCTTATCCACACCAGACGTCTCAATCTCTTCCATGGGCGGTGTTTGATTGCTCAAGAACCCCCCCAATTTCCTCACCCGACGCAAGATTTAATCCTTAGTCCCCGAGCCATCCATATTTACTTTTCCTAGTTTCATAAATGGCATGACCCAAAGATTCTACCCTATCACAAAACGAGCCCTAGCATGTATGGGCCAAAAATCGTATTGGGCCTGACGAGGCCTAATAACAAAACAAACATGCCACGGCCCAAGATCTTAGTCCAACTCCGATTGGGCCTACGTTTAAAATCCACCTTGTGAACTAACCACTCTATGAGTTGGGCTATCTTACAAGTTAAGCTAAACTAGCTTCTGGCCCATCAGCCTATAGCAGTCCATAATAGGAATCAAAATCCTATTTAGTTCCTACTTTTGTCAAAGATCCTGAACCTCACTTGAAGTGATAAGCCTAATCTGATAAAGGCAAGTGATCATATTTCCTTCCTGATTGGGATTATCTACCAAGTAGGAATCAAAGTCCTACTAGGAGTTCAACCTCTTGGGTTCACTATATAAACAGAGGCAAACCCTTTCATTATTCATTTAGAAATAACCCACAACTCTTAAAGCTCTCAAAGTTCTTGCTCCCAAGAACTGCTACCTCTCTCGTTGTAAAGCTTAGTTATGACTAACTTTACTACCCTTAGCCGCCACATTATTATTCCGGTAACCCTTTCCGCTCTCAGCCTTCACTAAATACCTTTAGCCACGTTGACTTGAGTGTCGGAGTGTCTATGGTAGACACCACACCGGTGTTTATCTAGCCTTTACGTTCTCTTTTCCTCTTTGTGCAGGTCCATTAGATTGTCAGTGGCTCAACTCTCACAGTATTCGTCCCTTCCGAAAGAATCGTATATTTTATGGTCTACTAAAAAAGGCCACCAGTGATGGCAGTGATGAATACAGAAGAGGCGGAGAGAGTAATCACTTTCTCTTTCTATCTCTAGTTCTTTAGGACCCTTTGTTGTTTAATAATTATTTTACTTGTTCATTCATAATTGATTGCACACTCAAATTTCATTAGACAAACCTTAATTCACTAGTAAACCAAAATTTGATTGCATAGCAAAAAGTGATTTAAGGTGATTAAAAAGCCTAATTCACCCACTCTTAGATCATTTTGATTTTACATCTTTACTATCTTCATTTAATGTTTATTGTCATTTTAGAGAGATAAACCATGTAATTTGATAGCTATTGTCATCTTTCAACCCTAAACTCCATGAAAATACATCTTACATCATTCATATCACCACTCTAAACCTACAAAATCCACAACCAATCATAGTTGTCCGATTTTCAAAATTATTTTGTCCAAGAATGTAAAATTCAATCATTCTCTCTCGCTAGAGCAAGTTTCAATGAAAATATGAGAGTTTTCCATAAACCATTCCTTTAAAATTATTTAGATTCATAGAGGAATTATTTGCATGTCATAACATATTTATATTTTTAAGTGCAAAACGAAGTGCTTTTTAGTATAAATATTGCTTCATATATGCTTGTTCTAGGTTTTTGCATGTATTCACAAAATTTCCCTATTTTTTTAATTTTATTTGTTGATTTATATTGTTCTTGTGGCAGTAATTTTATAAATGTTTGAAAACCCGACCGGTTCAATCGGTTCGACTAGGAACCATCCACTAAGCCGGGCTTGGTCGGCCTTAAAACAAAGAATGTGAATTAATCCAGTATGACTCGTGGTTGGACCAAGGTCACTATAGCAACCCAACGGTCCAACCAGTTTTGGGAAAAAAACTTGGTGAATCCAAATATGAATCACGGTGACTTCGACTAATGTTTGGCTGTCAAACAGGATTCGGGGTTAGGGGTTTTAAAAGGTGGATCACAATGAGTCTGGAGGTGGTGTCCAATTAAGTTTTAGTCATCGGAATCACCAAAATTTGGTCAAGAAACAGCGAAACTCTAGCTTCTGATTGCCAGAGATTGTGGGTGGAATGGCTTGGGAACTTTGGGGGTTTTGTAGGGAAGTAGACAGTGAGTCTAAGGGTGGTGGTGGTTGGAGTTGTTGCGCTCAAAACGGTCAAAAATTGGCAAAGGACAATAGATCGATGCGGTTGTTATGGTCAACGATTGGTGATGAGAGAGGATAAAAGGTATGGTTTTGAGA